ATACAAAAAGGTCCTTCCTAGATAATCCCCTCTGTTTGAAGTGGATTCTTTACCCCTTCCCTCTTTGAAGTGGATTCACCCCTTCCTTTGCACACACACCCTACCATTCTAAGGACTCTACTCGCTCCATAGAACCAAGCCCAATGCTAAACTTCTCTGATCCCAACTTTCTACACACTCCAGGCAAATTTAGCTGCTCTGTGCCCTATACACCTAACCCCATGCTTAACAAATAATTAGGAAATCTGTGGACTTCATATTTTTACCATTTTGTTTTTCTTACCATTCACCTGGAACAATCAAGAAACATTCTCTACTAGCCATATGTGGATAGGAAAGTAAAACACATTTTTAAAAGAAATCTCTATTGGTATATATCTGCAATGTACCATAATTACATTCATTTTGCGGTAGCTATATATCTAGATCTATATATCCAAAAAGATCTAGATATATGGTTTGCAACCAGAATTGTGGAAACAATTATATTCGTGAACTGAGGTACCACTGCATAAAATCACTTTCAATCCCCTTTACCCCGTACCCTTCTCTATGTATGAAAAGTCTGCCTCTCTGTTTCCTACCATCACACCTTTATTTTACTCTTCAATTTATTTATATTTTGGGTTTCTCATGTAAGAGAAGCCATGTGCTTCTGCATCTGACTTATTTCACTTCACATTATGGTCTCAAGATCCCTCCCATTTCCTACAAATGATGTGAAATCATTATTTATGTCCCAGTAAAATTCCTTAACCCATGAACATTTCTTCACTCTAATTATCTGAGACTTGTTTATACAAAACAAAGACAGGAGGAGCATCAATAAATGCACAAAATTTATTTAGAAGCCAGAAAATGTTACAATAAATGCAGCCAAAACACAAATATCCTGTATCTGGGCTTTGGTGTAACAAAACATCCCAAACTTCATGGCTCCCATCAGCACTTCTTACAGTGCTGTGTCCACAGGATGGTTCTTACTTGGGATCGCTCATTAGATTTTAGTCCAGCAGCAGCTGGGGCTGGAGCTGTCTGAGGTTTCCCTGGCCTAACCCTCCAAGAGAACATCTGCGCTCCTCCGCTCCTCTTTGCTAGGTTGACTACAATACCTGGGGCAGGCCTAGGTCCCTGTGTGACAACCAAGTGACCTCACTGCATGGAAATCACTTCGAGCACTTGTGCCAAGAAGCCTAGGTGAAAAGGTGCAAGGCATCGTTGGTCTTGCATCAGACATCAGGCAGAGTCACTTCTACCAATTCTTCTGATTGAAACTACGTACAAGGTCATCTCAGAGTCAAGGCAAAACATGAGTACAGAGTGGCGGGCCATCCATGGATACCACATGACAGTGTTTGCTTCACGACAGTGAGAGCTTAATTCTAGACTACATATCAAATCGGGGGTGTCCAAAGGGTCAGCAGTGAATAGAAATGGACAGATCCCTCAATTAGTTTTCTATGATAATGTCTCACCATGATCATTCATATTATCAAGTAAAATGTGTTTGACTATCAGTTGTCTCTATTTATAAATAATATAAATCAATAAAATGTATTGATGATTCCTAAACCCTTTCTGTTCATAGTATCACTATCTTCTAAAAAAATACTTCTATAAGGAAGATAATGAAATGCATTTAAATACTTTAATAGAAAGGTCTTTTAACAGAAAAAAAAAATTCATGTACTTGAGTTTCATCTCTTTTGCTTTGGTGCAGATTCTAAGCAGCAGGAAAGCAAAATAATCCATTAAACAATAACAAGCCCCAAAGAAGGTATAGAAAAATGAAGACAGCTATTCCTTCGTGTGGCTACAAGAAATCTAACAAAATAGGCTAAGACTTGAGAGAGCCTTGTACATCAATGGAAAACAATCTCTCGACCCATCATGAATAGATATTTTTCAACTTTAAACTTTTATATCTCCCTACTGAAAGAGCCTGTGTTGCTTACATTTGAGATCAGTATGACTATGCATACTAATAATATGACTTATTCCAGCACTCACTATTTGCTTAGATTTTATAACTTGATTTAGACCTGACTAGAGATATGATTCTGTTGACTAATCCACTTCTGTCTTAAAACAAGCAGATTATGTTTGTCAGTTTTTGAATGCTATTAGGTTAATTCAATTCAGAAAAGTTAATTGGTTTAGTGTGTTATTTTTAAGAGGAAAAATTATTTTGAACCTAACACAGACAGTAGAGATGTGTGCTATTCCACACCACCAGGAATAGCTTGAAGTACTTAGACAAAGACTTGTCACAGAGGTGGGTGCATGATGGCCCCAGGCATAGATCAGACACCCCCACTAGTTTTGAAAATCTGATGTGAGAACAGAGTTTGTGGGTTGCCTGAAAAAAAATCGTATTTTTCCCCCTGAGATTATATTGAAGAAAGAAAAGAACAGCTTCTCAAATAACTGGATAAGATGACATGCATCAAGCTGGCCTGGGTCTTGAGGCCTCATTAAGCCTAAAGATTATTCATCATGTTGTGAGTTTGAATGATCTTTACAAAACTTTTCAAGATGTCAGTTTAAGCATGCAAGTGTGAAATATTCCAAGAAATTAGGGTTTAATAGGCTGTATTGATCCTTCCATAATTTTCAGGAATTCATATGCTGTTTACAGTCACTAATCCCTCAATGACTAATTTTTATCTAGGCTGTATCAACATCATTCTCTCTTCCCCATAACCACACACAGGGCTCCACTGTCTAACAAGGACAGTAATGTTTCAACAAAGGAGCTAAACCAGAACCCAGCTAGTTTGTTGCATTATGGTATATTTTTTGGCACATTTACTTTCAAATTAAGTAACAGTGTTCAGATATTTCTCCATAGCAATAATCTCACTTCAACCTTTTTTATTTGGTTGAGATGTAAAATAATGGTTTATATTGATCAGAAAATAAGTATTTTCTGTTAAAAGTGGCAAGTGTATCTGGATTTTTCTATGGAAATAAAACATTAAGCCACTGCATTCCAGTGAGTATTAACAAATCTGTCATTCTGAGAAACAAGGCCAGGAAGACTGCAAAATACTTCCTTTCTCATGACACTATAGGAGGTGAGCAAGAAATCAAGTTAGAAATTGACAATGGAGAAGAGAATTCAGCTGGCAAACTGTGGGGGCCTGGTTGTCCTGGTAACTGTACCATTTGCTCATAACAAGGACTTTACAGTGAGAAAAAAAAGTTAAGCAAATGAAGTAACTACATATTCGAGGTAGAACATTGCACACTATGGATCAAGCACTGGCAAATTACTGATAGTGACCTTTTTATGTATGGCCCTTAAGTTTAAGAATGGTTTTTACACTTTTGAAGTGCTGTAAAGGCAGAATGAAAAAGGAAGAGGAAGAAAGTATATATAGCTCACAAGTGCTAAAATGCTTACTTTCTGGTCCTTTACAAAAGATTTCAAAACCCTAGTCTACGTTACTTCACCATGGGGGAGGCCAGCAGAAGGGTTTAGGAGAAGGTTGGGAGAGGTATACATGGGCTTACTTCTAAAGGGATTAAAGTGCATCTCTGTGTTTGCAAATGTCTTAGATATTGCATGCAATAAATCCACCTGTAGCCAATCTAAATAATCATTCAAATACTTCTAGATTCAAGAGGCCTGGGAATAGAAGCCATGTAGATACTGTGGGTTATGCTTTTAAATTCCTTCCTCACGTCTCCCTGGTAAAGCCTGGAAACTCTTTGCAGCTGAGGTTCTGGATGTGAATTAGATCTGATGTTTTAATACCCTCAAATGAGATCTGAAGTAGAAGCTCCTATTGGTACCAGCAAGCAAGGTCAGAGTAGTAAGGTAGAGAAGGCAATGTTGGTGAGATCATCAAGAGTTCTATAAATGCAAAATGCAATTGTGACAGCAGCAATCTTAGAAGCAGCAGTAGCTAACAGAATTCTGTCCACTTGGTTCACAACTATGATCTATCCTTATAACTCTCTCTCTATATATATATATATCCGTAAATCCCTTTATTGAATGGCATTCTACATGAAAATGGAGCCATATAGGTTTCTTGCACTAACTCTGATTTTAACCATGAGTCAACTGCTATTATCTAACTTGCCTCCTCTCCAATGTCAAAGATGATAAAAATGCTCATCTTCCCTGATAACTTGAGTCAAAAAAAAAATGCAACTTAGCCTCAGTGGTAGTACACACCTATAATGCCAGAGCTCTTGAGGCTAAGGCAAAAGGATCACAAGTTTGAGTCCACCGTGGCACCTCAGTGACTTAGTAAGGCCTAGTTTCAAAATAAAAAAGACTGAGGATATAGCACAATGTGAAGGCTCTGAATGCTAATCCCCAGTAGCACACACACACACACACAACCTGTCGAGGCCCCTGGCTGTTTCTATGAGGCCATGCTTGCAGTGCATGATGATGAGTAGGGATTTTTCCATCTATGTAACACATCTCAACTCCTGATCATCCTCTTTTCTTCCCTCCCCCCATTGCCTGATCCCCTTCCCATGTGAGAAAGATTTTTATTTTGTTCTGTATTTATATTTTGAGGTTCATATATAAGAGAAACCATGTGACATTTAAGCTTGTGTGCCTGATTTCTTTCACTTAACATTATGGTCTCAAGGTACATACCTGGCTTTTAAGGTCATGTCATAGCTCTCCTTTCAGACCAAAGTATAATGTTTGCCTTGGCTGAAGATGCCTGTGTGTCCCCTGTGACAGGCAATTTTACAGGCACTCACTTTCAAGTCCATAATACAGTAAACCCAATAAAAGATCCTACATTTCTTAGACTCTGCACATGCAACACATATTGATGTGTGCAATCCAATCAATGGCAACTCTACAAGGTGCAGACCAAAAAGGCATAAGTGAGGTAGGTTGAGAGGACATTAGAGCAGAATATGAAGCAGTGTGCCATCACTACAAGTAGAAAATGTAAGCATTTGAACAAATATTGAATTTGAACTCAAATTTGAATTCAAATATTGAATTATTTTTGTACTAGGATCAATCAAATATTGAATTTGAACCAGTATCTCCAGAGAAGAGCTCAAAGGACAGCAGGAGACAGTCCCTACAATGAAGCTGATGATGACACCAGGAACCAAATAACTATGCTCTTTGAGAAACCAGGAGACAAAAGAACCAGAATAAATCTCTTCAGACATGTCAGCTATTGCCATTATGTAGACAAGAGTCCATTTAAATAGTCAGCATGCAAACAGCTTTGGCTCATCCTATTTTGCTACACTGATACACTTAGAAAACGTTTTAATAGCTGACAATAGCCAACAATCCGTAAGACAGATAAGATCTCACGTGCACTGTGAATTGTAACTATGTATAGTAGAATATATAACAACACATACTTGCACTCAACTTCCTCCCACCATTGTCTATAAGAACTTTTGGACCAAGCTATGTAGAAGATTGGTAATTTACAAATCATGTGTTTCCAACTAAACCATAGTTGGATATCTCTGAATTAAGAGGACAGAATATTAAAAGCTGCATTGTGCTATATAGTCACATATAACAATAAACATTAGTCATACCAATTTGAGAGGGAGGTTTCTTTAACTTCCAAGAAACAGAGTTGGAATAGTGCAAACTCAGGGGTATGGCCACAACCCCCAAATGCCACCAAACTGTGCTGGAGAACTTCTTACCAGGAAATGAGTTCCTCTTGTTCCCTAAAAGCACATTGCCATGTCTATGCCAAACTCAGCATGTTTTTTCTTTTGATCACTATAGTATATTTTGTCACTTATTCATTCAATAAATGTCAAGCACCTACTTGTACCAAGAAATATGCTGAAAACTGGAGATAGGGTGAAGAGAGAATAGAAACACGTGTGCCTGCCATGATGCCTTTCTAGCAGACCTGAAACCTATCATCAGTGAGAGAGAAAAACTGACTGCCACTCCCATCACCACAACACAAAACAAAGTGAAGACTTTGGCAATGACCACACTTTTGCCAATATAGTAGGAACTCATAATAATCCTGAAGGCTATAGAAAAAATCACTATCTAATTAATGTTAAGAAGCTGGGAAAATAGTATTCTAGCCATATAATAATAGAAATTATTTCATTATATTGCACTTCCTATTGGCTTGCTTATTAGCATAAAATTTGTACCAATTATAAAGCTTTGCAGACCTCTCAGATGGAATTTTGGTAGGAGTGTCATTTTCCTATTTTCCTTGTTAGTATCTCAAATTATGATTCATAGATTAAAATTCATAAGAGTAGTGGGCAAGATGGCATTGTTCAATAAGAATGTATTTTATCGTGGTCAGTATGTTCCCCAAATAAATGCTGGGAGGGGTGATGTTTCCACATCTAGTCAAATGTCAGAAGTCATTTAATTCTCCTGAAAAGACAACTAGAAAAATCTGATAAACTGTAATTCTAGAGGACAAAGCATTTCTTAGGTAAACTCATAAAAGCCCAAGGGCATATATTAGTTCTGAGAGTGGACTGAAGATCAAATTTAGCCCAGGCAAAAATCTCTGTGGGGTGAGGGAGAAAAACACTTTCGAGGCCATAATGAACTGAGATAGGGAATTCTGTATTTGAGGAACCTTTTCCCAAAGGACATCTGCTGAGTTTTACAACTATGTTAATGGCCAGAGGGTTAGGAGGAAAAAGTAAGTTTCCAACAGTCTCACAGCAGAGGAAACATGTACTGAAGAGGGAGCCTTCCCATTCCCATGCGAGTATGCCCCTCAGGATAGTTGTGTTGAAGTGCTTAGGGCTGGAGTCTGGAGCTCAGGCCTAGGGAAATCAGGACAAAGTTGAATCTTTCGAACAATTTTAAGAATATAGATACAGACATCTGTAAGACATTTCATCAAAAGTCTTGGGGGTCCCATGAGGAAAAAAGAAGTAAACACACCCTTACTGAAACTACAATCCTTCTGAGTCCAGTTCCATTTTTCATGGGCTTAAAATGACCAGCTTCTGTCTTAGTTCTTTTCTGTTACTACAATAAAATGTCTGAGACCAGGCAATTTATAAAGTATAGAGGCTTACTTAACCCACAGTTCTGAAGGCTGTGAAGTCCAAGAGAATGGTGCCAGCGTCTGGTGATGATCTTTGTACTACATCCTCATATGGGCAGAGGTCATCATATAGTGAGACTAAGCAAGCATCCATCTCAGGTCAGATCTATGTCTGTCTGTTTCTCTCTCTCTCTCTCTCTCTCTCTCTCTCTCTCTCTCTCTCTCTCTCTCTCTCTCTCTCTCTCTCTCTTTCTTTCTCATCTTGCTCATGCTATATGCTTCAGATTGGCCTCAAACTTGCTAACCTCCTGTGTCATCCTCCCAAGTGCTGGGATTACAGGCACATGCCACCATGACTGGCTCTTCTTCTTCTTCTTTTAATGTCGTGTGGGTGCTCCTCTCCTCAATTAAAATAATCCTGATTACCATCCAAATATTCTGCTTCCAAATGTCAGTATAGGAATTTGAAGATTAAATTACTGACACATGAATTTGGGGGATATATTCAAACTATATCAACCCATAATTCTAGATGCCTGAGAAAGGAAAATAGAGATCTCTCTAGTGAACAAAAAGTCATCTGGAACTTCATAATTCACAATGTCTATGCTATAATAAAAATTAATATATATAAGCAAAAATATATAAATGACTATATTAAAAATAGGCAATAAGAGTAAATCTCCTAATACATAAACAAGAACTTTAAAATAACTAATATGTAATTAAAGTATGGAGGAACTCAACTTCCAGGTTCTGGTCTGGCATGTAAGCAGTTTGAATGTCATCAGTCCTATTCACACAACAAGAAAAAAGCTAAACAAACTTAAAATCAATGGCTCTTCTTATGCCCATCGGAGAATTGAAATCACAGGACAGCCCACTACCCACATAATTGGTGAAACAGGCAGATACAGAGAATTACAACTAACTAGAGAAGAAACCACCATCAGAACCAGTACTGGAATAGATATACCTAAATTATTACTGAAAATTGTGGAAGCATCTGAGTTAAAAACTGTACCAAGCCCACTACTGGGGAGACTCACACTTTGGTGAGCTTTACCAGTAAGATTCCTACCAGGCTCTGAAAGTGAAGGCTGGAAAGAAACTCCCACATGATTCTGGCAGTTTTAGGGTGAGTGTAGTCACTTTGAAATAATCCTAGAACAGTCTGTTCTCCTTCATATGACCTGTCCTTGAAAGAAACTATTTCACTAAAGCCAGTCCAACCTGGAGCAAGAGCAGTAACTAGCTACAGCCTGCTCTAGCCTTTCATCTGGGGAAAGCAGAGTACCAACCTTTAGCTGTTCAGTCTCTCCTGTCTCACTTACAAGGGATGAGGATCAGGGAACACTTGAAAAGATCACAGCTCAGGGGCAGAGGTTCCCTAAAGGACAGAGACCGCATCATAGAACTATAAAATGCTTCCTTTTACCTCCACATTAATAAAGCTTTTGTATAATAATGGGCAATACAACTGAATAACTACATAGTAGGCTTAAAACACTTGGAAACCCCAAAGATAACAAAGGAGAAAGAAAACAAGAATATCAGAGGTTCTGATATCTAAACCTATAGCTAACTAAACACAGCCTAATCCCTGGTTAGATAAACCTAAAACCTCACATACTAAAGTCCTCTCCCATAGCTCCTCTTACCCAGTATATTACATGACTTTCAACAACAAAATTACAAGGCATACTAAAAGACAAAAATGCAGTTTGAAGGAAAAGAAAAGGCATTGAAATAGGACATACATGGGGGCAACATTGAAATTACCAGACAGATAATTTAAAACAGCCACAATAAATATGCAGAGGGATTTAATGGAAAGAGAAGGCAATGTGCAAAAACAGAAGGTGAATGTAATCAAAGAGAAACTCAAAAGCTCTACAACCAAATTAAAGAATGCCTGTGGTGGCCTCATCAATAGGCTGATCATGGGCAAAGAGAAATAATGAGCTTGAAGAAATACCAATAGAAACCTCTATAATTGAAATGAAAAGAGAAAAACTGAATGAAAAACATGAAAGAGAATAATCCCAGAACTATTAGACAATTATAAAGACTGTAATATATGTATAACAATATGCCAGGAGAGGAAGAAAGGAGATAGAAAGGACTAGAAGAAATATTTAAAGCAACAGTGAGAATTTCACAAAATTAATGATTTAATGATGGTCACCAAACCACAGACTCAGGAAGCTCAGTGAACACCAAAGAGAATAAATGCCCCCCAAAATCTACAGCTAGGTATATCACATTCAGACTGGGAAAGGTGGGGAGAGAAAATCTTTTTTAAACCCAAAGAGTAAAATCTTTTTTTTCTGAAAAGCCCACCAAGAAAAATGAATCTTTCCACTATAGATAAGCAGAGATAAGAATTATGTGAGACTCCGCTACAGAAATTATATAGCAAGAAGTAGAATTAAATGTTAAAATGTTGAAAGAAAAAGCCACTGATACAAAATTCTGTCTTCAGTAAAACTGTCCTTCAAAAGTGAAAAAGAAATAAAGAATGTCTAGGCAACAAAATGGAAGAATCCATCACCACTACACAGCTCATGAGTAATGCTAAAAACTATTTTTCAGAAAGAAAATTACATAACAGAAATGAACCTACTTAAAGAACAAAAGAAGGTAAAAATATTTTTCTCATGTTCAAAATAACAGCAATAGTGTATTTGCTGATTATAGTTTCTGGGTGTGAAATGGGTGACAGAGATATTATAAGAAATAAGAAAGAAAGAAAAAGAAATGAGAAAGAAAAATTGGGAACATGCTGTTCTAAGTTCCATACAGTCCCACAGTCCCTGGGAAATGGTATAGTATTGTAACTGAAAGAGTATTGGATGTCAATGTATACTGTTAACTAAAGGTCAGCCACCTAGAAATAATAGTAATAATAATAACAAATGTTTTTAAATAATTCATATGCTTAGAGAAAAGAGTAATCAGATAAAATGTTCAATTAAAATCAAAGAAGTCAGAAAAATAGTGGAAGACAAGGAGAACACAAAGGAAAATCAACTAGAAACATTAACAAAATGGTAGCTACTAAAATGTATTAGTAATCCCATTAAATATCTATCATCTAGAAATATTAATTAAATGACACATTCAGATTTGTTTTTTTCAAAACCTCTCTATATTATTTCCAAGACTACACTTTAAGTATAAAGGCACTGGGAGGAGGCTTCTGGGCCACCGTACCAACACGACCCCCAGCACAGAGGAGGTGAGCTGCATGGGTGCCAATAGCAAACCTCCCCCCCGCCCACTGTGGAAATGAGAAGACATGTAAACAAGTCTCAAAAACAGACTTCCAGGTCACGTAAAGCAACCCCAAAGGGAAAGGAGATGGAACACTCTGA